GATTGGATTGGATTGGATTGGACAAAAGACTTGCTAATAACGAACAAACTAACTGACGAGGTAGTAACAACAGCGACCTACCAGAGTTATTGTTGTTTCTGACAGAGACGTCTTCTTCATTTTCATAAGCCGACTGTCTGGACTTCTGCGAGGACAAAAACACACCATTGTTTCAGACTTCACTGTAGCTAACATACATCATTTTGCTTACAGAGAATGTTTTACTTTGTGTATAATTGTAGAGTTAAAGTCTGCCCCTCCTTCATACACTAGTCTCTGTTCCACTAACCTTAAACAGTGTATTAAAAATATATATTTCATTTCAGTTCTTCTGAACATGTTCCTCTCCTCATTCAGTTTTCTTGGTAACTCTACTTAGTTAATAGTCATTTTATAGTAATATAGTCAGTTAATAGTAAATTTGAGTGCTTTGTCTGTGGAGAACTGTGTTGCCTACCTTCCTCGCCAGAATCTTCCTCCTCTTCTTCTCCTCCTCTGAGCCGTGGTGCGACTGAGCTCTGGTCAGTCTCCGGTGCTGGTGGAGCTTCAATCAAACATTTATACACAACGTTATCCTCCTTACAAACAGTAAACTGCAGCTGCATTATGCAACCTTTTCATAAAACCTGCCGGCGTCACGGCTAATGAAAAGAATCAAGACGCTTTCAATCAGCTGCTTTTATCCAAAGTATTTGTTTCCCTTTAGGTTATATTATTCAAAAAAAACATCTGCTAAGCTTTAAGGTTTCCAGCAGCACAGACACATGAGTTTGATGTCATTGTTTTGCAAAGTGCAAACTCAAAGCTCAAAGGCATATAATTCTGATGGTTCTCGATTCCCATCCCTACCACTAATGTGGACATGACGAGCTGGGGATTGAACCACCAACCCTGTGATCAGTGGACTACCTGATCCATCTCCTGAGCCCCAGCTGGGCAAAGACAGCGATAGAAGTTAATGACAGTAAAATAGTTATTAGAAGATATGAAAGCAGCTGCTGAGGGTTAAATTACATTCACTTTGTATTTACAGAGAGAAGATTTGGGGTTTCTCTGCTGTCTGTTCCTGGAGTCAGCATCCAGTGGCCATTACAGGAAGAACAGCTTAAAATAATCCCACACTGATGTCATCACAGTGTTTTTGTGTTTGCATCATGAAAAGGTTGTGGGAAACTACATTTCAAGGTTTTTCCACAGCTAGAGGCAAATGTGATTCCTCTAAGCAGTGAGCAGTATGTCTACCTTATCTGGAAGGTCACTGATTTAAAACATTCATGGGGTTGTTGATGTAACCTTTAAGAAGGGGCATGAACTCTGGTATAAAACAGAGCAAGTTGTAAAATCAGAGTAGTCACGCACCACTCTCTGCTCCTCCTGCAGCCTCTTCTCCAGACTCTCCTTCGCCGTCTTCAGCGCCTCTTTTAGTCTGCTGGGAACCTGGAGGAGTGGAGAGGCAGGCAGATATTTACTATTTTTCTTCGGTTTGTTTTTGTTTTTAATCAGAGTAAATATTCTGAAGCAAACCTGTAGTCACGTAATTTCAAACTGAGCCTCTCACCTTGATCTGGAGTTTCTCTGAGTGTTGGAGATGGACGTCACTGAACAGCCTGCAAAACACAAACTGTGACTCATCAGCAACAACAAACTGCGTTCACACAGCAGGAACGAGGGGCCCAAAAGTCAGATCATCATTCATGTGACTTTTACGTCACTGCAGATCTGTGCTCGTCATGCCAGTCGCTTTAGGACAGCGACCTGTTCACACTACAATCTGATAAGGGCCACAATAAACAAAGATCTGAGCAATAAATCAGAATTGAGGGCTAAGACTTGCAGTGTGAACGCAGCCATAGATGACGTCATCCAGACATTGTTTTTTATTAAAGGACACATAAACCAGGAAACTGACATCTTTCTTGCCAACTTCCAGTTTTAAAGAGTTAGCACTAAACCAGTTAATGTTAGTAAATTATCACTTACTAAACATACAATCAATCGACTAGTCTGTATTGTCCATAGCAACATGGGCAGAGAACAGAGTTTAGGTAAACACAGAACTCATAATAAGAGTTTTTGTTTGGAAGAAATGCCACAATGGAGAGAAAAATAGGTACTTTAAGATTTAGATGGCGCAGTGTGGGTGTCGGGGTTTTTGAATCACATAACAAATAATGCGTCACTGTCTGACTGTAAGCGTCTAACTGCTGGACAGGTGAACTCACGGTGTCTGCATGAGCTCCGACACTGTTGGCATCCCGCTCTTACAGGCTTCTGTGGACAGGATGGACTGCAGCACTGACACTGAACACACACACACACATAATCAAAACAACACATTACATTAAATTACGTTCTTAGGAACAAAACTTTGGGACATTTGAGTAAACTTGATCGTGTATTCGTGTACTGACCCACAGCGGTGTAGGGGACAGTGGGGTATTGATCGATGGGATGCTGTCTTGGGACGGCCGTACGTCCATCTTCGTACTTAAACTGTCCAAGCAGAATTGACGGTCGATAGACTTTCTGTGAGACTGCAGACAACACACAGACACACACACTTTCACACACACAAACACAGAATCGATTATTAACATCTATTAGAGGGTGTCTGAGGGTTTGAGCGATGGCTATTCACGCGAACACAGCGCTTAATTTACCAAATTATTTGGTTTCTACCTTCTACTTCTATCTTTTTCTCATAATTATACATAATTGTATTATAACTCTACTTTCTTTGCTAATAAAGGAAACAGGTGCTAATTTTTGTAATCTAGTTATTTAAGATTACATAAAAATAAACAAATAAGTAACAGATAACACACTTGTGAATCTTTTTTCGTATGTTACTTTGATGTAAAATGATTTTATGTAAGATTTTCTAAAACAAAAACATTAATATAATATTATCAAATCTGAGTCTGTGTTTACGTACATTGATCTTCCTGAGCTGGGTAAAGGCAGGTCGCAGCGCTGAGGGAACTCCCAGCATGCCGTTCTCTACGTCCATCAGTCGACACACGCCGTCATCCACAATTATGTTGGACGCGTGGAGGTGACCGAAAAATACGCCGCCATCGTGGAGGAGCTTCAGGCCCTGCACACACACAGACACACACAGCTCTAGTAACAATCTACAATCAACTCGACCCACTCTGGTTGTCCGTCATGGATGGTACCTGGTACGTCCTTCGCTACCACCTCGGTCGAGGTTCTAAGCGAGCTCAGTTGATACTAAAAGGTGACGTGAAAA